TCCCATACAATCTGTTTTTTTTATGCAATTGCATCAAGTAGGTATTAAATTACAATGCTTATCTTCAGGTTGCAATGTTTTTAAAGCATCCAGGTCTTTCACTTACAGAAGATGTCCAGCTGCGCAAAGCTGTTATATGTGTTAAGCTAAAAGTTAAAATGAAACAAAACAATTAATTATGAAGCAGCATATATATTATTATATAAAGCGACTTCCATTGCCTCGTTTTTAATCCCCTACCCTGTTTCCTAATGAGCATAAAATAGGTAATACTCATACTAATAAATAATAATATATATAGCAAAAACTTTACTAAACATTAAAATTGAATATGGTATAAGGTATTATCTAATATTATCACAAACTAAAATGAAAATATTCCTGTACAAATTTAATAAATACCTATGAAGCAACAAAAGAAAATTTAATTTACTGGCATTATTCTTACGCTTATTGTGAGTAATAGTGCAATGTGAAGGCAAAATGTTTAATTTCTACACTATAATGACGGCTTTTAGCTACCTACACGAACATCATTCTTTACTTGGTTTTTAAAAACATCACTAGCCATACTTTCAAATTCACCAAGCAGTATATCTTCAGACTCGTCGTTTAACATACCTTTATTTTTTTAATATGAATAGTAACCCTTTAAAATTACCATATATTATTTCTACTTTACGGGACACCTTTTTTTTTTGCATTTTTTTTTCTGAAACTTTTTTGAAAGTCAGAATTTGGGGCTCGGACATAGTTTCGAGGTTATGACACTTCAATGTTAGTATGTAGTTAGAGTAAAGTCGTTATTGTTATGGTGTAGCACTGTATTGTTGTGTTGTGTATCAAAGATAAGGATAATAATTTATTACAACTATCTATATTCTATACAGATTGTCACCAGTTGTTATTTATCTATTTATTATTTAAATTTAAATATTTTATATTATAATCTATATTTATTAATTGTCGTCACCGTCTGTATTATCATTGTTGTTCTCATCTTTACTGTCGTAATTTTCGCTGTCGTCGTCGTTGTCGCATTGCTATCGTTGCCAATGAATGTCATATCGGTTTCATTATTATCTGGATGACAGAGTATACCAGCGTTTTAAAAAAATTCAATTGTTGGATCTAATTTATGCGAACGACAATGCTTCGTAAACATAAATTTTTCCAAATACCCAGGCTAAAATTTCTTTTTGGGCAGTAATTTGACATAGAAGCCTTTGAATACCGCCAAGTGCTTTCTATGGTATTTGAGCGAACCCCTGTGTCTGGGTCTTTGAAACGGACACTGTGGTTTACAGTCATATAGCTTCATCTTTAAGGTATTGTAAGCCTAAAATAAAATAATTTATTACATTTATACCTATAATTGTAGCAAAACTAGAAGCAACAATCCGAAATAATAGTTGTTCCAAGTTTTATCCATTCTTTGATTACGGTCAGAAGGGTGGAGGTTCTCTAAAATGACCATAAAACAATTTCCGTTTCGCGTTAGCGTTAGCGTTCGCACCCGCCGAATACCCATTAGCCCTCAACCCTGTGTCCTCGGTGGTGTTTTCGTCGTCCAAACTTGGATCCATCGATCTCCACGGTGTGGCCATAGCCTCCTAATTTAACTTTCCGTACCAAAAGGGGTGTCCCGTAAAGTTCCGGCGTTTGAATGGTTTTTTTTTTGGTCTTCTTTAGATTAAACCCATATTTAACCCAAGTACAGTGAGTTGATTTGTGCAAATTAATACCATACATCAACATCCTATTAATACTAATTTTGAGATTTATTCTTACACAAAACTAATAATAATTTAATTATGATTTTATTTAAAACTAGCCGACCCGTCACAGCTTCACCCGTGATTGGTTATTTATTTTGCCTCCTGTTTAATTTTTTAATCGAATTTTATCGTTTAATGTAGGTAATCGGCAAAGTAAATATAAAAAATAGTTAATGAAAACGTATTGAAAAGTTTCTAGCGGTATAATTAATGATAAATATATTTTTATTAGATATAACTGATCCCGTGCACTTCATTGCCCGTTAAATGTACCAACTCTTTATAACTCAAACTTTGTTCAATTTGTTATTTTATATTTGGTGTATGGTGTTCAAAACTTATCTTAAATTTTCCGTTGCCCAGAATAAAAATTCTGATTCGCAGCAGCATATTATCAGGTAGACAATATACCTGTAGATCGCTGACCACGTGCTGTTTGTATGTAAGTTTGTATAATGACCAAGTTTGTCGTTTTTACTTAATTCCAAGTACAGTGAATTAATATAATCAATTAATACAAAATCCTAACCTAACCTAACAGTACTTAAATCCGATGAATACAAAAAAACCAAATTTAACCCTTTTTAAATTAATCTATCTTCTTCCCAGAGGTCTAATCTACATTCAAATATTAATTTATATATACAATGACGATAAATAAAAATACAAATCAACAAACAGTTCTTCTTCCAATGCGTGCTCTTGGCGCTCTCGGCACGATGATGAATTAGCCACTTACCCGAAATTTAACTCATAAGAATAATCAAAAAGTAAGCACAAATTATGCTCGTAATGGGCGTACACGTAATTGACGAAAAATAATAACTCAAATCAATAAACATGCCCGATATAAATAAATAAATAAATAAATATGTATAAATAACATAGCAACCAATATATTATAATACACTATTATTATTTTAATCTGCAATAATAAACTTTATTTTTCATTTTTTATTAATTAGTTTATTTTTTTCTGGACAGATTGCGCCACTATTGTACTTTTGACATCCATATTTCCTACTTTTCTGGTGGATTTTTCTAAACAAAAGTGGTACTATGACCTCCAGTAGACTGTCAAGTATAACAGTAAAAAATTTCAGCCAAATCGGTTCAGTAGTTTTCTCGGTTAGCGCGGTCCAAGAAAACGCTTACCATTTTATATACCCACATAGCAAAATTCTTCCCGGGACGTCATTAGGACCATCCTAATCATGTCCGCAAGTTATCCTAACAGTATGCTCGAAAAAGACATTCTGAGGATGCTCTTAGTACAGTCTCAAACTCTCAAATGACTTACCTCCCATTAGGGTACTGGTAGGATATTGGGTAAATCCTATTTGAATACTTAATGGAATTTGTGAGGATTTAAATCTACATCATAATAAAGGACTCACAGAAGATATAATTATTTTATCATGTACCTACTCAGAAAGACGTATTAATAAGTACCACCAGGCACCATGAAGTATATGAACATTATACCAATCAATATATAGGTACAAACCACTAGTATATTTAATATTATACTGTATTTATTGTATGAGTTAACGGGCATCGGGCAGTTTTCCCACGGAGAATGGAGATAACACTATAACAGACAGAATTATCTCATGGAATTCCAGACTAATCTAGTTAGTAGTTGGTATATATGGCGGTAGTGCAGTACGCACAAACAAGTATTTATTTGTTATCGATGTTATCGTATAACATAGGGAATTTTTTCATCGTTATATTTCTAAAAATATCCATATTGGTACACTAATTCATTTTACAAAATTATTTTTTTTCTAATATTCTATACGCGGCGGTACAACGGTCGTCACTAGGGTCGCGCTGGTTCGTGCGGCTCAGCTCAGCCGGCTAATTGACCAACTCGACCGCGCGCATCATCACTCACTCTTGGGCCTTCCCACGCCGTTTGCGACATTCTGTTCTCTGCAGTTAACAGTTCTCACTTCTCGACGATATTACATATTTTTTTTATAAACCTTGATTTTATACTTGTGTTTTATTTTATACGCGTACTAGTGTTATGACTTACTAGTCAGTAGGTAGTCGTGTGGTTGGCTGATCTTCAACAGGTTCGTATATTATATTGTAGTAATTACAATGTAGTTATGTTTAATTAAAAAATTCTAAATTATATAGGTAACTTAGTACCTAACTCAAAATTTCTAATACAGTTCAATAGTTCATAGTTCATTTATCATCATGTCGTCTAATGATGAATATTTATCTAAAAAGTAAGTACCATTTATATAGTGTGACAAACCTAATTATGAAATATTACAATATTGATTTTATTTTTTTTTTTCGATTATTAGTATTTTAAATATTTTCTTGAGGTATAGTTAAGTTAGTAATACAAATATTTTTACTTCTTATAGCATTTGTGCCAATAAAAAGGTTAAATCAATCGAATCTATTTCTTCTAGACATCAACGAAGATTGATAAAAAATGAAGTTGATTTTTTAATTAATCCCACCAAAAATGTTGCATGTACTAGTCAAACTACTGTTAGACATAATTCATTAGATCAATTAGATGTTTCTGAAAATCAAATTGCAACATCATACATTAATGATAGTTCCCTTAACTCCTCTACTACTCATTCTGTTTTAAATAAATTAAACATATCTACAGATCCTATGGTAGATACTACATTTTCTACTAATAATGATTTTACTAAGCCAATATCAACTACAAATTTAAACACTGATATCAAAGATTTAATTGTTACCTGGGCTGTAGAAGAAAATATTTCTCATGTATCTCTGTCAAAATTATTAAAAATATTGAAATCCCATTCTTGCCTAAATTATCTACCAAGTGACCCAAGAACTTTATTAAAAACACCTAATAAACTAACTATTGTTAAAGAACTATATCCTGGAATTTATCATCATTTTGGCTTAGAAAATGGTTTAAATCAATATTTAAAAAAAAATTAAGAATTTTTACTTAATAATACTGAAATTGAAATAATTATTAGTGTTGATGGGCTGCCGCTGTCTAAATCATCATCAAATAATTTATGGCCAATTTTAGGGTCAATTTATAAAACTAGTTTTGTATTTTTAATTGGTGCTTTTCATAGTACTGAAAGTACCAAGCCAAAATGTGCAATAAGTTTCATGGCTGATTTTGTTACTGAAGCAAAATGTTTAATTTAAAATGGTTTCCAGTGTGAAAATAAAAAAATAATGCTTAAAATTAGAATGTTAACTGCTGACACACCAGCAAAATCATTTATTTTAAATGTTAAAGGGCATAGTGGGTATTACAGCTGCACTAAATGTTGTATTGAAGGAGAATATCATAAAGGAGTATGTTTTCCTCCAATAGTGGCTAAACTTCGAAATGATAATGATTTTCGAAATTATTCTGATGAAGAATATCATTTAGGTGAATGTCCTTTAATTAACATTCCAAATTTTGATCTAGTTGCACAAGTTCCATTAGATTATATGCACCTCGTATGTCTAGGTGTAGTAAAAAAACTATTTAAACTATGGACAACTGATCATTTGAGTGTTAGACTTCAGGTTAGAAAATTATGTCTTATTTCTGATAGGCTTTTAAAACATGTAAGTGTGTTTGTGCCTCTAGAATTTCAAAGAAAGCCTCGATCATTAATGGTTTATAAACAATGGAAAGCTACAGAATTTAGACAATTTCTCCTTTATAGTGGCCCTGTTGTTCTAAAAGATGTTGTTTCTATAGATGTTTATAATCATTTTTTATCACTGCATGTAGCTATATCTATTTTAGCATCCAATGAATTACATTTAAAACTTATAAACTATGCTGAGGAGTTATTAAGACACTTTGTAATTTCTTTTGAAGTTTTATATGGTATTCATAATTCATCTCATAATATTCATGGACTCTTACACCTGGCAGATGATGTTAAATATCATGGAACACTTGACGAATTTAGTGCTTTCAAATTCGAAAATTTTATGCAGCAACTGAAAAAAATGATACAAACTACAAACAGAGTAGTTTTAGTCCAATGAGATTTTTAATAACCAATGAACTGGCAACAAAAATGACCTTTTTTGGAAAAACATCCAAACTAGCGTTTGGATCATTAAAATTATATGCAATTTTAGAAAGTTGGTTCACATTTGTAATTTAATATTTTCGTTGTCCAATAATATTTTATTTTTAGAAGTCATGTTGAAGAATAATCCTGAACTTACAGTAAAAAAATTGCAAGAGCCAATTCAAAGTTGGTTACGCCATGCAAATGAAAGATTCACCAAACAAAATTGCCATGTAGATAATGTAAGTTAAATAATTATAAAAGTTTGTATGATCATTAATTTTTGTTGAAATTTCAATTAATATTATTAATCCTTTTTTTAGGAACAAAATTAAAAGCTGTCATGTGTTAATTACTGTGTATGTATGTGATCTAATTTTAAAATTTTTATTTACCATATCTGACTTAATTTAAATTGAATTATTTTTTTTTTATTTATGAATTTTTTTGTATACTTTTCTACCAATCATGTGACTATTATTTTATTTTATAGCTATTACTATCATACCAACATTTTTAATTAAATATTTTTTTTTGTCTTCAATAACCATAATACCCAAAAAGATTTTTTTTTTTGGTTTTTTTTTATACATTAATTATGTAACTGTTCATTTATACTGAATGATTATTATTTTTTTAATTTATGGATTCCTCATAACTACAATTTATTTAAATATTTGTTACCCTGTGGCAATATATACTTTGACTATGTGATAATTGTAAGACTGTTGTATAATACTTTTATACTAATCTGTTATTATCTAATGACTGTTATTTTATTTTATAAACACTTAAAATTAGATATTTTATTTTGATTATATTGAGTTGTATGTATGTACTAATATATTTGATATTACATGTAAAATAAAAATGTAATTAATTCTTAATTTTATATGTTAAGTGTATTCCCAGTTCATCAGGGTAAGATCTCCTCACTTCATTCTGATGGAGTGTTCTCAGTTCATCCTTGTAGGATATCCTCACTTCATTCTGATAGGGGGTTCTCAGTTCATCCTTGTAAGATGTCCTCACTTCATTCTGATAGGATCCTCTTAGTTCATCCGTGTGAGACGTCCAGAGGATAAATAAAAAAAGGACATCTGGACATTCTATGGGTATCCTCTGATCGTCCTGAGGATAGTCCTGACCATCCTGCTAGGACCATTTAAGTACATACTGTGGACATACATTTGCTATGTGGGTAATAGTATAGAAGTATAGATGTGTCATAATATAATTTAAAAAAATTGTTTTAAATTGATTGATTTATAAGTAGAACATTATTTTTTACTATGAAATTATAAATTAATAAGTACTTGTACACTGTGATGAATTTCGTTGCATGAGTCCCATGAACGATCAACATATCTTAAAGTACCATCATCAATGGTGTTTGTTACGACACATCGTAACGACATTATCGTCCGCGTCGCAGCGACCAAAGGTCCACGACTGAACCCCCGCAAGCTCCGCGTGCCCGTGCGGAAATCGGTGTTATCTGCTTTCCTCTCCGAGCAATGCGCCATTAAAAATTATTACTCCTATCTATTATTCCGTCTTATTATCATTATTTAAATTAATTATTATGTACAATTGATATCGTTGAAAATGATATCAATTTCACTATTGTTTTTTGCCGTATCATTCGGATCATTGTCGTCGTACACTCGTACCTACTCGTTCGTTCGTCTCGTCGTATATTATATACACGAGACGTTATATTCTTCCTGTACCATAAAACTAAATAAAATCTTTGTTTACGCCATTGCGGCAACTTCAAATCATCTACCTTTTTTTGTTATTAAATCATCGCCCGTCGTTGACATTGCGTCAACGTCAAACGACAACATATCGGCACACTTCGTGCTGGTCATTGGCAACCGCAGTCGATCGAGTAAGTAGGTACATCACACATATTATTACGTCGTTCCTGCCAGTCTTCGTGGGGAATCCAATCTCTTGCCCGAGTTCGGGACTGGTGCCAGAGTCAAGCGCGTAAGTCCGCCAGCAACCCAGTGCGTTGTGTGAGTGGCCGCTCCAGGTCGTCGGATTGCAGTGCTCACCGGACCGGACCTTCAGCTGCCGTAGTTTTTAAGTAGTTTTAAGTTCAGCCTAAATTGTAATTGCGCCCTGTGGTCATTGCACCAGACCGATCAGACCACAGGGACCCCGGCCCCATACTTAAACTGTACCATCCTTAATTCCGTTGTACCACTTCCTTCCATTCGTTCCTCGTATTGTCTGCCGCCGCGAGGTTTCGTCACGGGCATCTTAGGTTGCCTATGCACTGAAGCCAGGGGCACATTAAGTTGCCTATACACCATACATCTAGGGGCATTTTTCACTTAAAAAAAAGTCTCATCGTCGACTGAGGTCGACTGGTCCTTCACCGAACACCCTCCATCTTCTCATACATATTATTTGGTCCTTCGAGCCGGATGTAAAGGAAACAAACCGTGACCTTTTCCTATTGTCCATCACCGTTAAAAAAATAAAATAAATAAAGTAGCATCTACACGCTACATCATTGGTTGGTATCGTTCGTTTCTGATTCTTCGCTGTTCATTTGTCTACTTCATCTACGTCTCACTGATTCAGTTCCGTGCTCGTATATTCTGATTGTCACCTCGGATTTATTCTGACCATTGTCACAATGTCACCTCCAGTTTCAATGGGTTATGTTGAAGCCAAGGCTCGCGTGCTCCGTGGTACGGACCGAGTCACCTCCTTCATCTCTGCCGCAGGAGAGTACAAGGCAGACCCTCAAAATGCTGGCAAACGTGCCAAAATAGAACAAATGGTACAACACGTGAATGAAATCCGTAGAAATGTCGAAGCTGATATCCAGTCCATGGAAATAGCTGTTAGTCAGGGTACAGCGCCGATCGATGTCACTGATACCAAAGACAGTCGGACACTTTCTGCGAAATTCGATAATCTTTATTACGAACTCATCGCCTTCGCGGATGTACATCACATCACGATATCGTCGCCCCATGACCAAACACTCTCTTCGACTATAAATCAATCAACCTACGGTGGGAACCTTGCCCATTATCAGTTGCCAAAACGAAAGTTCCCAACATTTTCTGGCAAAATCACTGAGTGGCAAGGATTCGATGATCTTTTCAACTCGATACTGTCGCACACGCCCAATCTTCCCGATGTGGAGAAATTTGAGTTTCTGAAAACGTCTCTCGAAGGCGAACCGCAATCACTTGTTGCACACCTTACCTTGACGGCCGCTAATTACCACAGTGCGTGGGAAATATTACGAGGTCGATATGGGAACAAAAGAGATCTAGCCAGGGTTCATCTTGAAGCTCTGCTGACTCCGCATAAAGTCCTATCTAACGATGCCACTTCAATTAAATCGTTGATCCACTCGATCTTGGAACACACAGCAGCGTTAGATAACCTAGATCTAACAACACGACACTGGAGTCCAATATTAATACATATGTTTGAAAAATATTTAGACTATGACCTCCGGGCGCGGTGGGAAATGATTGTTGGTGACAGACACCAACCACAGGTTACCGAATTCGTCGATTTTTTACGCCTGCATGTGCGGTCAGCTGAAGCGCGTTCAGGAGCCTACTCATCGGTGACACCTGCAGGTCCTGTTAGTCAAGTTAAACCTACTCCAAGATCACAAAATCCAAAATGGCAGCATTTTTCCTCGTCAGCCAAAGCTTATATTGCAACCACCAACCATCCGCCATCTCCAACCATAACATGTCCATTATGTAAACAGACCCATTCAATACGCCAGTGTTCGCTCTTCGCGGATCAAGGTCCCAATGAACGGTTCCAAACTGCGAAGACCCATCAACTATGCATCAACTGTTTGGGTTCGGGGCATTCCGTAGGAAAATGTCCATCAACAAAAACTTGCTCGTCCTGCAAAAAACAACATCACTCACTACTGCACTTTCCAGCCGGTACACCCACAGGCACAAGTGGTCCGCCGCCAACTTCGATGATTGTGGCAGCAAAAAACCCTCAGTCCATACTACTATCTACGTTACTTGTAAGTGTCGTATCAGTCGATAATCAGAGATATACCCTTCGTGCATTGTTGGATACGGGTGCACAGGTCAGCTTCATTACGAAGCAAAGTGCCGATCGCTTATCGTTAAACCGTCGTCGTTGTTCAACACAAGTCAGTGCTTTCTCGGGTGCCTCAGTCAATGTCGTGTCAGGCGTCACATCTATTGTAATGTCACCGGTTGGGAAGCCGGACCCGTCTGTCCCTCTCGACGTCTTGATTGTGTCAAAAATCACTGACTACCTACCTCAAACAACATTCAATTTCACTGCGTGGCCCCATTTAAATAAGCTTGAGTTAGCAGACCCAAGTTTCAATATTCAAGGGCCCATTGACATTCTGCTTGGGGCAGATGTCGCCCCAGCGATCCTGACTGGTGGCCGTGTTGCTGGTCATCAATCACATCCGACTGCTTTCGGAACTATCTTTGGATGGGTTTTGATGGGACCAATGGCACCAATCACCACAAATACAGTCACGTCAATGTTAGTGACCACTGAAACGGCACTCGAAAACTCTCTTACTAAATTTTGGGAAATAGAAGAGCCACCTCAACTACAACACTTGAGTCCCGATGAAGTTCTAGCTGAAGAAATATTTTTATCGTCCGTCAAACGTCTAACATCTGGGCGATTCAGTGTTGCACTACCATTTAAACAGCCACGTCCGATCCTCGGAGACTCGAAAGGCATGGCACTAAAGCGACTTCACTACTTGGAGAACCGATTATCACGTGATGAAGGTCTCTCAAAACAGTACCTGGAGTTTATGACCGATTACCTCACTAGTCAGCATATGGAAGTTGTTCCTATGAACCAAAGAATGACGCCATACTGTTATTACATACCACATCACTGCGTCCTTCGTCCGGAAAGTCATACGACAAAACTCAGGGTAGTCTTCGATGCATCCGCTACTAC